TTGCATTAAGAAACTTAACGTACAGAGGAGGAAGCTTCTTAATGACCTCTTCGACTTGAAAGGTTAGTGACTTGTTCATTCAAATTTCAAATGCAGGATAACAAATTATTATGATCATCATTTCGTATCGCAGTTTTATACTTTAAAAGTTACATTTAGAAAAAACACTAGTGTTTCAGGTAATATTCGAGTATCTTGTCGGATAAGACCCATAAGCATTGGCAATCAAAAGTCAGTTGAAGCTTTGGATTCAAATGAAATGATCATAAATTTGGTTGACAACAGGTCCAAAAGTTATAGCTTTGACAAGGTTTTCCATCCTTCTTCCTCACAAGGTACTCTCTTTTAATTACAATTATATCAACTAAACTGAAACCCGATTGTTCCATCACCATACTTTCTTTCGTTACATCTTTTTTTTAATTTACCACCTCCTACTTCGGTAATATAAATCATTTTTATTTTAAAATAAAAACATTCTCTGTAGCAACTATATAGAGTTCATTACTAAATAAATTGTCATTTAATTATACAAAATTACCTTATAAAGTTATATTTCTTTTATTTGTAATAGAAAATTTACTTAATTATGCATATACTACTTAGTGTCTGATTCTCTCTCAACCCATTTTTATTTTATTTTTTAAAATAACACCATTTATTATAGCAATATGCTCTTTGTAAAATTACTCCTATATTTAACAATCCTCTTCAAATATTTGTCTGATAATATTTTGTATAGCAATAGAATATTAAAATATTTATCATTAATGCCATACACATAATAAATTTCATGTTAGGAATACATAAAAGGAAAATATTTGTTTAAATGATTTCCATTACTTATGGACTTATGGTCATAACTTCACGAAAAAGACTATCGGTATTTCCTTTTTTACATTCATACTCTTTCTATTTTTTTTTTGGTTAAATTGGTCAATAATTTTTTTTTCTTTGTACACAGAATCATAAAACTATTCTTTTGTTTATACAATTAGCTAAATGACATCTAAACATCAAATATCAATATATAATAACACCTCACTATAACCACCAAAATTTTCAAACAAATGCTGCCACTATTAAAAGGTTAAACTGTATTTGAGAATGCGCTTAAATTTTATGAGTGCTTAAATCAATTTTGTCTCCTCCATATTAGAGGCAATATTTTTTTATGAGGATGTTGTTACTGACAATCCTCATTGTCTTTCTATTTCTCTGATTTACAAAATAATTTTGATAGAAAATATGAAAATCAAAATAGTGACGAAATTTTTAGTCTCATCTACGTTCTTCTAGGTGAAATCACAAATCCTAGGAACATAAATTATGACCATTAAAAAATTCGAGCCAATTTAAACTAAAATTAAGGTTAGTCTCAAAATCACACAAAGCACAGAAAACAAATCACACAATTAGGTTAAGGACAAAAGCAAAATCACACTTAAAAAGTTAATTAACTTATATTGAAGGTAAACGTGTATGCTGCAGGAAAATAAAAGAAACCCCAGAATGCAAATAATCTACTCCCTCCGTCCATTTTATGTGAGGTACTTTGACTCGGTACGAAGTTTAAGAAAGAAAGGAAGACTTTTAAAACTTGTCATCCAAAATGAATGATAAAAATTTGTGTGACTATAAATGATCTCATTAAGAGTAAAATAGATATTTTATAGTTAAATTGTTACTTAATATAAAAATGTGTCAATTCTTTTTGGGACGGACTAAAAAGGAAAGTGAGTCACATAAATTGGGACAGAGGGAGTAATTAATTTCGTATGTCGATAAGTTAGCATTTCTCTATGATAGATTGAGAGGCAACTTTGTTAAGAAAAAAAATGTTAAATTTAAGTTTTTATTTCGAGTCCGCTTACACATGTCTCAAGCTGGACTGTCAAAAAAATTTATTGGCAAAGGATTTTTGAAAATTGAATAAATGAGGTGAAAAGGATGTCGAAATCAATCTTTTTTGTCACGTATCTTACATTCATTATTTGCCTTTTGATTCACAAATGGATTATAATTAATCCGAAATAGTTTGTCAAAAGTCATTCATTTCAATTGATTTTCGAAATATCGTTTTCAATTTGATGAACCAATCCAGGACATAGACAAGGTGTCATAGTTTCTTCAATACTGATGATTAAAGAAACTGAATATTGCAACTAACACAAAATGCAGATAGCTTCTCTGGTTCATTATGCAAACCTGATTGTTGGTTTCTTATGGCAGGTGAGGTGTTTTCAGAAATAGAACCAATTATCAAGTCCGCGCTGGATGGCTATAACGCCTGCATATTTGCTTATGGACAGACCGGCACAGGGAAAACATTCACAATGGTATATCCTCAACTACTTAACAAGCAAAGCAAAACATCTTATCAAAAATATATTACTTATACCATGTTTGGTTTTCAGAAATCAGAATAAACCACTAATATAATCTTAAGTTATGCGGAGTTTAATTTCAGAAACCAAATGTTATATTACTTTATACCATATAGAGTGTGGAGTATGATACATCAATCAGAGCACCTACAAGCAAGAATGCCCTAACTACTAAGGGTAAACAAGAAATTCTGCATTAGTATTCACTGCATAACAACACTACACAAACAACTCATACATTATAATATAACCAAACAAACGGTTTATTAGGATTACTCAACTAACAGCACAGAGTTAAATGAGAACCGGTCAGGAAAATTTGCAGGTGATATCTAGTGAGTCTCTACTATAAAATTTTGGAAAGCATTTTGTTGCATTATCTAAGTACAATGTTTTCGGTAACTATACCTGCCAGGAAGGCACAGAGGAGTTTCCAGGGGTTGTGCCCCGTGCGATTGAGGCACTTTTTAAGCACACTGCGGACAGTAACCATGCATTCCTCTTCAGTTTCAGTATGCTGGAGATATACATGGGCTATTTAAAAGATCTCCTCACCCCACATAGTCAGACTACAAAGTCAATCTTCCCTTTACCACCATGGTAAGTCACAGAACTAACTTGTTAATTTGTTGTTTGATTGCATAGCTTGCATGCTTTACTGACACTGAAGGCCACTGTTTCTAGTGTTTATTGTTGAGACAAATAGCAAGCTGATGCAAGTTCTTGCATCAACTTGTCATTCTTGTCAAATGAACCTAGTCAACTGTACGATCAATACTTAATTCTGGTCAACTTCCTACTTTCTCGACGAGGTTAGCTACTTTCTCATGTAAATCATAATTTTTGCATGCAGTCTATCAATACAAACACATCCCAATGGAGAAACCGAGATTGAAAACCTTGTGACCATCCAAGTAAATGACTTGAACCAAGCCATGAGACTGTATAAGTTAGGATGTGGTTTCAGATCCACTGCTTCCACAAATTCCAACCGAACATCAAGCAGATCTCATTGGTAAATCAATTCATTTTTTATACAAAAATGAATAGTAGAAAGGTTTTTAACTTTTATCAAGTCCAGCTAAATGACTATTGTTGAAGTGTGCAACTATCTCATCTAAAAGCTTAAGCTGTTAGAGAGAGCACACATTTATTATTTAATTGTATTCTCAACACGCTCCCTCACGTGCGGGTCTGATTATGTTTAATGGGTCAAGCGCGTGAAAATTCTTTTTGATATGGGTGGCGGTGAGATTCGGTCACAGGATCTCTGTCTACTCTAATATCATATTGAATTAGGTCTTGGGCCTAACTCACACCCCAAAAACTAGCTCAAAGGGAGGAGGATTATTGTTTTGTTTTTTTTTCTTGTATATCAGAAATTTCAAACTAGTTTTCCACAATGCTTGCCATTCAGTTATAAATTCTCAAACTGCACTAGGTGGCAATAATCAGTTCTATAGACCTAATTTTACATGGTACCAGAGCAGGACTTGTTTCACCCAATGTTGGGCCCTCGAAATTAAAATTGTCCACGCACCAAATGCTAAGCACTGGGCATGAGGTAGGGCATTGAAGAATGACAAGTCTCACAGTGATGGTTATTGAGATGGGTAGACTCCTAATAAGACTTGGGCAATCCTCTTCCCTTTGAGCTAGCTTTTGGGGTGTAAGTTAGGCCCAAGACCTAATTCAACAACTATGATTAGAAACACGAACCTGATAAAGAGATGTCTATGCAGCTATCTTGAATCTGTTCCAGGTTTTGAAGGATAATTCTGAACAATATAGATCACAGATCTCAAAGGTGTCAAACCTCTAAACAAATTCCCTGTCTGCTCCATACAGCATGATTCGCATATCAATTTCCAGTGTTAGTGCTAGTAAACGGAGAAGGTTAACAAACAAACTGTGGATGGTCGACCTTGGAGGAAGTGAACGTGTCCTAAAAACAAAAGCACTGGGGAGAAGATTTGAAGAGGGAAAAGCAATTAATCTCTCACTTTCTTCCCTTGGAGATGTCATCCATGCCCTCCAAAGCAAAAAGCGCCACATACCTTACAGGTAACTCAACAAATCTGGCATTAGATACCAGTACCTGACTCACAGAATCAAGTGGATGAGAATCCAAGACAAATAATTATAGAAGTTTCACCATTAACTTAAAGCTGATCCTGATCCTAATGTTTACTGTTGACAGGAATAGCAAGCTGACGCAAGTTCTTAAAGATTCCCTAGGTAAGCATGCATCTTAGCTGAATGTTTATATGTCAGACTGTTTGACCTATGCTTAGAGCCTATGTTTATTTGCATGTTAAATATCATATTCTGCAAGTTGGGATTAAAGATGAAACTGAAATGGGTACACTACCTTACACTGTTACACATTAGTTTCTTCAAGTAAAAGATATTGATGGCTTAATATAACATTTTCGTTCGAATTCTTCATTGACAAAAACAGAACACTTAAATTGCTGGTCCCACATCCAGTGATGCTTATGGTAGAAACTTAACATGAAATAACCAAAAAAAAAAAGGAAGCACAGAAAACTTTGATGGCAAACAGAGAGGCATACTCGAGTGGATTGTATGCTGAAGTGGAGGAAAGCAAAGAATTCAAATGAAGTGAGTTTGAATATGCTACTGGAGGAGTGGAAAAATGTAAATAGATTTTACATTTAATTAAGCTGCATAATGAATGTCAAACTGAAACAGGAGACCTACTTTAGTTCGAGCTTCTTCACCATCGATCTCTGAAGCAGCACAATAGAAGCTCTGACCTATAGCTAGAGTCAAACAATACCCTGCATTCACGGACTGAAACAAGAACGGCAACATGCTCTGAAGTAAAGCACATCAAAGATTCTACAAATATTCACAATTAGACTTCTTCATATGTCTAGCGTAACTTAGGTAGTACGACTAAGACTTACTTTATGGGAGTTGTTTAATCGATCTCCTGGCCTTTCTTGTGGACATCATTTTCCTAGACGGTGAGAGAAAAGGAAAGAACTAAAGTGCTGAGAATGAATTAGAAATGGGACAAAGGAGAGAGCGATAACTGAACACTTTCAGTGATTTGCGTTTTTTTCCCAGCTGTTTTAGACTTTTAGCGAGCTTAAGGAATTCCACAATGTGGATTAAAATACTAGGATTAAACATAGGCTTGGTATGCAATACCATCATCTACCACATAACCGATTCAATCAAAAGAATTGTAAAACCATACCTTTTCCAATCTAACCTTGCTGTAAGTGCAGCTCGTAGGATGGCAAAGAGCTAAGTGGAAAACTCAACGTTCAATCTTAGAGGACGGAGAGATTGAAATGCTTGTACATAAATATGTCTACATATGTTCTTGTTGGTCTTCTTTGCATATTAGAAACAGAAACCAGTAGCATGAGCCTAAGAAGGGAGACCTATGGACCAGCATCAGTCAGTAGGTTAAAATATCATTGAGAGATGTATAACGCGTGGAAATAGAACACCCCAATTTCTTTGATGTTCCTGGTTGTTCTAGTAACTTGAACTAAGCAAGTTCTTATCTTGTTAAATATTTTTCATACTCATTGGACTGTCAACATATGTTTTTCATATGCAGCATTTAGAAATTATTCTTGTGAGTCACATTCTCAGGGACACTTTCCATTTATCATTTAACATGCAAAATCTAGACTAGTAGAAAATTTCACATTTTCTTCACTCCTTTTTACAGTCACACCAATAAACTTACCGTTTATCATTTAACATGCAAAATCTAGACAAGTAGATGACATTTTCTTCACTCCTCTTTAGTATAGTCACACAAATAATGCCAGAATTTCATGTGCTTTCTTAATATCCAGGTGATGATTCCAAAACACTAATGCTGGTTCATGTTAGTCCCCATGAAGAAGATTTGTGCGAGACATTGTGTACATTAAATTTTGCAACACGAGCCAAACGGGTTCAATTAAGAAATGAAGAATCAACAGTAAGTCACTGAAACAATCAACTGAGCCTAGTACTGGAAATCATGAACTACTTACATTATTATGACATACAACATATATCTTTTTTTTTGAGAATGACACAACGTATCTCTTTTCATTTCTTGTCATGTAATTGATTGGTTATAACTAGTTCAATATGTTGTCCTGATTGTCCAAAAGTAGTGGAAAAATCCAATATGGTGTACATCAACTTCAATACAAAAATACTTGCTGAAATCACAACCACAAACAACCTTAGTAGGAATGTGAAATATAGGCCATTATTAATGGCATGGAGTCATCAATACAAATAAGATCTTTTACTGATTCAAATTTCAACCACGGAAGTGAGTAGACTAACATCTTCATAATCCATATGCATACTGTGAGTACATTTGGCTCAACCTGATCTAATACTGAAACTGCTACACAGGGAAGATGCTTATTTGATTATTTTATGTTTTCAGTACACCCCTTTTTTTCTGGGCTAAGTTATTTTTCTAAGACCTTAAGGCCTATAGAACATTTGAGTAAGGTGAGATGATAAATTTAACAGGAATTGAACAGTCCATTAGGAAACAGATGGTTAGGAGCTAATGATAGTTGAAATGAGAGATACCGAAGTTAAAGTTGAACTGAAGGCGCTTTGACTTGGTATTTAACTTGTATGAAAGTTAAGTTGCAGTCTCACTAATAGCCTCAGCTTCTAGATTGGACGGACCTACATGATTAAAAAGTGTTGCATAAGCATATGAGGAAAAACCATTCGGCATGTATATGGTCCTAACAAATTGAAGTTATTAAGACAAAGCCTTTTACGGAGAAATAGGGAGATGATTAAAACTAGAGATAATTTAACAATCTTTGTGCTAATGAATAATATGTTGCCATTCTCAAAAACAAAAATAAAAAATAAAAAATTAGTGATTATACAACAACTATTCAGTTAAGAAATTTTGATTTTATTTTATTTTTTTGCCATAATAATGTTCTAAGCTTCAAGCAGGAAAGTAGAAAAATATACATGCTCATGACACGAACACAAGAGGAATTTCCTGATATACATAAAGGATTAACTCTTTATACATGATATGCCATTATGAAGACATAATAAACATTTAACGGCTTGTTCATCCAAAAGATAAGGAATTGGCTGTCTTACCACGGAATCCAGATGCAAACACTTCCTGCTCTCCCATCACTGCTTCTGTATTTTTACAATGACATGTTCAATTACAGGAAGTTAAGGCAGAAAAGGAAGTTGCAATAAATAATCTGCTGCAGAAGATGAACCGAATTGAGTACAACCGCAATGATGTCACACAGGAAATCAAGAAGCTGAATGAGAAACTAGGAAAGCTTACAAAAATATCGCCACCCTCTTTAACTGAACTAGTGGATCTCTCAGATGTATGCATTGAAGGGTTAGGGTCTAACATGAGATTTCAAAAAGATAGTGTCACATCTACCCCTTTAGCAGACTTCCCCAGATTCATGAGGCCTACTGTTTGTAGCCGAAGTAAATCAGGAAATGCTGGAGTAGAATCCCAAGCCTTAAAAAGTAGATCCTCGCTTCCTCCTAGAAAAGGGAAAGGATCCACTCACTGTGCCAAGTCTGTGGGTTTCCCTATAGAAGGAACATCAGAATGCTACTCAGAGATCAGTGTTTCCAGAACTAGCTGCCTTATCAGTCCAACTACGAAATTCAGTGCGGATAATGAGACAGAATTCAGCGAAGAAACATCTGATAGTTACACTAAAGTGGCAGTTTTTACAAAACAACATCTATCAGAAAGAGATTCAATACACAAAATGTTTAATTTGAGACTCAGCAAAAAGAACCATGCAAATACAATGCAAAGAGTATCAACCCAAAACCACTCAAAGGTTGATAATTGGCTTCAACTGCACAAATGTGCATCAAATATAAACAGTTCCACTCATAAGAAAAAAAGAATTCTTGCGATACCAATTCCAGAGAATAAAGCAAGGATCAGGGGCAGAATTGTGGCAGATTTACATGATGAAAAGGTCCAAGGAAAGGAGTTGAGAACAAGAAACACAAAGCATAGAGATGCAAAATCAGTTGATATGGAGAATCATTTGAGCTCCGAGTTAGAAGAAGAAGTTAATGTGTCTCATGCAGTTTTGAAGCACTTTATCGCTTATGAGAAGTCATATTCTGCATGTCCAGCCTGCAATATTGATGCAATAACTCTGAATGGAACACAAGGTCAAGTACTCGATTCAATTGAGGTCAGTGAATGCAGAAGTTTTAGTGGACCTGCTGATTTGAATGATCTTAAACTGATCATGCCAGACATTGCATATCAAGAGACATATAATATCTCAGCATCTAAGGTCAACAGCCTTAGCATAGGCCTGATAGGGAGTCCCTCTAGCTCAAAGAAGACACCAAACTATGAAGAAATGCATGATATGGAAGAAAGTAACTTAGAGAATATGCATGTCCCTGGATGTGTTAGAGAAGGAACAAATCCCTGCCACTATGACTTAAGATCTCCCAGCGCTTTCTCCATTTGCAAATCAAATCAAATGGATTATTACCTTGTTCCCAAATCACTAGACAACACCAGAACTGGTGGTAAGATTTTTGAGAAACCATCTTTACTTGTTCAACGAGTCAGTATAAGTCTTTTTGCGATAAACAAGAAAAAGGAGACATTGTCTTCTTTTGTTTTTATCTTCAGCATAAACTAAGTCTATGTTCACTGTCTTATGAATATTTTAAATTGCATCTTCACAGGGTTCCTTAGTCTTTTGAAACCAAAAGTACACATCTTATATAGCAGTGCTCTTGTCGCATTGGGATTTGCAAGCCTAGGTCTTGGGCATGACTTCTTCTATGCTTTGACTCTCTAAACAACTGGCCTATGACATGCCAGACATGATGCACATTTGGAGTTTTCCTTTCAAAAACTAGGTACCAAGTGATGATGTACTTTATCCAAGAGATAAAGATAGATGTTAATCGGCTGCTTGGCAACCGTGAGAAGCTATAATCACATTCCCAAGCTCAAATTGTTGATAATGCAGGAATTACATATGGAAGGGAACAAGGGATCAACATGTGTAGCGGTGGTTCTTTTAAGTGCCATCTCATGACTCTCCAAATCAGGGTGAAAGGTCACCATATGTACATGTACCAAATATTTAATCCCATGAGTTAAACAGTAAATTCAACACTTTAGAACGTAAGATGTTGTCCGAGATGCACCTTACTATTTTGTTTTAGTATTCTCTAAGTGTCGTAAGCTACCAAAAAGAAAAGAAAAAAGTCCTAATTTGTTCCTCAACTAGTTACTTTTGTTCTATTATACCTCCATTAGAAGTTGGGAACAAAAATCCCTCGTCGTTACCCAGATGTAACGTATACACCCTTATTCTGTATGATAGTTCTAATTTGCTAATATTATCAAAGCTGGTGCTGCATAACTACCAGGTGTGAGGACATGTGGAAAACAATACTCGTTGACCCTTATATGAATTTCACCTAAATCTCGAAAAGAAATCTAGCCTAAGGTAGACCAAAATCTTCTATTAACCTTAAATTATGCATTCAACAACAAGCTATGTGCATCCAACTAGATAATGCATACTAGAGTTTCATGACATTAAGATAAACTATTTATTTTTGAGAAAGGTAACGTTACTTCTATATATCCACAGGTATACTACACCAACAGGTATAGTTCCCCAACAAAAGTATTACAACTTACATCTTGTGGTTCAACTTATCTTTACAAAAAGTCTAAAACATCAAAAATATCTTCTGTTTGAGCTAATAGTTTTTGCTCACACCAAAAATAAAATAGGCCTAAGCAATTCATCTTAAGAATCTGTAAGCTGCTTTGTACTCCTTCAAAACACCTCTTTTTCCTCTCGATCCAGACTGACCACCAAATACAAGCC